TGTCAGATAAATCAGTTACCTGTCAGGTGAACCAGTTACCTGTCAGGTGAATCTGTTACCTGTCAGATAAACCAGTTACCTGTCAGGTGAACCAGTTTCCTGTCAGGTGAACCTGTTACCTGTCAGGTGAACCAGAGGTGAACCAGTTACCAGTCAGGTGAACCAGTTACCTGTCAGGTGAATCAGTTACCTGTCATATAAATCAGTTACCTGTCATATAAACCAGTTACCTGTCAGGTGAATCAGTTACCTGTCAGGTGAATCTGTTACCTGTCAGATAAACCAGTTACCTGTCAGGTGAACCGGTTACCTGTCAGGTGAATCTGTTACCTGTCAGATAAACCAGTTACCTGTCAGATAAACCAGTTACCTGTCAGGTGAACCAGTTACCTGTCATATAAACCAGTTACCTGTCAGATAAATCAGTCACCTGACATATAAATCAGTTACCTGTCAGATAAACCAGTTACCTGTCAGGTGAACCTGTTACCTGTCAGGTGAACCAGTTACCTGTCAGATAAACCAGTTACCTGTCAGGTGAATCAGTTACCTGTCAGGTGAACCAGTTACCTGTCAGGTGAACCAGTTACCTGTCAGGTGAATCAGTTACCTGTCAGGTGAACCAGTTACCTGTCAGGTGAACCAGTTACCTGTCAGTTGAACCAGTTACCTGTCAGGTGAACCAGTTACCTGTCAGATAAACCCGTTACCTGTCAGGTGAACCAGTTACCTGTCAGGTGAACCAGTTACCTGTCAGGTGTGTCTCACCTGCAGCGCTCTCCGTAGGCACACGCCCCTCTCTGGTAGTACTTGCAGATGGTGGAGGGTTTACTGTTGTTGGGATCGTGGGAGAACAGACAGCGGCTGCCCTCTCTGCACACACCGTGGAGGAAGTACCTGAAACACAGAACACCTGTGAACCTCACTCACCTTCACCTGTTCTCATCTCACTGATTGATTATTCTAATCTAATCTGGCTTGAACAGAACTCACTCTGAGTTCTTGTAGAACCGGACCTGTTTACAGGAGTAGACCTCTATCGAACCGGACTAGCACGGCCTCTGAACCCACCAGGTGACTCTTACGTCATCAGTAAGGTAACAAACTGAACAAGCTTATGGTTTCCATGGTAACGGGTGAGTTTACCGCCGATCACCTGATCGCTGTATCAATAAGACCTCCTAAAGGGATGTGTCCTCACGCCTCAGCTGCCCGCGCTTCAGTGCGCATGCTCAGACCAAGGTACGTTAGCTGCACGATGCTAACCGCTAAAAACATTAGCAGGACAGAACAGACACCCTGGTGAGAGACTGACAGAGACACGCGCTCACCTGCAGGTCACCTGTTTGCTGCTCATCGCGGACTTTCACTCACTCACACAGCTCCCGGAAGTTTCCTCTGAGTGTCCCGCTCTAACAGGTCCGACAGAGCGGAGCGCAGCAGAAAGGTTCCGCTACGGAGCATCAGCGCCCCCCTGTGGTCTGAAGGACCAGAACTCTGTGGTTCTGACCCAGGAGGGTCCACATTACATCGTACAACATGTTAGGTTCTGTGGTTCTGACCCAGGAGGGTCTACATCACGCCATACAGCATGTTAGGTTCTGTGGTTCTGACCCAGGAGGGTCCACATTACATCGTACAACATGTTAGGTTCTGTGGTTCTGACCCAGGAGGGTCCACATTACATCATACAACATGTTAGGTTCTGTGGTTCTGACCCAGGAGGGTCCACATTACATCGTACAACATGTTAGGTTCTGTGGTTCTGACCCAGGAGGGTCCACATTACATCATACAACATGTTAGGTTCTGTGGTTCTGACCC